GTATAAGACTTGCGTCTTGGCCCACTCGCACTTCTTCGCGTTGATCTTGAAGTTAGCCTCTCTAAGCTTCTCCAAGACCTGCCTCAGATGACCCTGGTGCTCCTGGAGGGTCTTACTAAAGACTAGGATATCATCTAAGTAGACTACTACAAATTTATCTAACCATGGTCTAAACAGGTCATTCATACAACGCTGAAAAGTAGCTGGCGCATTGGTTAGTCCAGAGGGCATCACTCTGAACTCATAATGCCCGTATCTCATCCGGAACGCAGTCTTGTACTGGTCATCAGGATGGACCTCTATGTGATGATATCCGGATTTTAAGTCTATCTTAGAGAAATACTTGCAACCCTGCACCCGATCTAAAAAATCGTCTATCCTGGGCAGCGGCTCAGCATTCTTTACGGTGATCGCATTTAATCCCCTATAGTCTATACACATTCTCAGCTCTCCTTCCTTCTTGGGGACAAACAAAACGGGTGCTCCAAAAGGAGACGAACTAGGCCTGATCCAACCTTTCTCAAGGAGCTCGTCTAACTGTTTGCGAAGCTCCTCCAACTCTCTAGAAGACATCTTGTAGACTGCACCCTTAGGAGTTCTACTGCCAGGATCTATCTCTATCTTGTGCTGGATGGGTCGCGACACTACTCCTCTCGGCGACTCAGTCAAGTCTTTGAATTCTTCCAGCAGCTTGGCAACTGTTGGATCTGTGGAACTATCCTTTTCCTGGGCCTCAGTGACAGGTCTAACATAAACTACAAAGACHTGTTCCTCTAACTGCTCCTTTTTTACTAATCACGCGAACGCTGGAGCACTGAGACAGCAATGCGCCAAGGTGTTATCTACACCAGACACATGGAACAAGCGGGCAGTCTTAGCCTCGCCTGACAGACTAGGGAGCCTACACTCATGCTCTCTCAACTGGAGTGTGGCCCCTGCTGCCTCTCCCCAATCCATTCCTAAAACTACATCAAAAGGAAGGTCATCCTGCACGAGGAGAGTCAAAGAATGGAGGACCTTCTCCACTTTTCCATTCTGCTCTAGGCGAAAGTATGCCTGTACTCCCTCTACATAATCCTCAACGCGCATTGTGCGGTTGTCTGCGAGTACACTGACTATAGGGTCTATTAACTTCTGGACCTTAAGTCCTAGCCTCAGCTTCTTCAGCGCCCTACGGCTGATATAACTACGGGTAGCCCCTGAGTCTATAAGGGCCCCTACCCTACTCCCAAACACCTCTACATCTACCAAAATCAGTTGTCCTTTACTCTCCTTCTTCATTTTGGCCCAGGCTGGCATCCTCTCCTTTAATTCTTCTGCCACACCTGTGAGGGACGTTCCTAAAGAGACGCTTACACAGGCGGTCTATGGACAGCTATCTAGGCACGGGCCTGCAACCTCTGCCATA